CGGTCTCCTCCCTGACACCGATCGCACGTTCCTCTTGGAAAGGGAAGAAGAACAAAGCAAAGCCCCGGTCCTTCCAACCCCTTTCCAATCAAAATGATCAGCATCAGCATCCTCTGCAAAATGTAACCTTAGGGAGGTTTTCCTCCTAGCTTTGAACCCCAGCTCTGCAAGTTACTGACCCACTCCCACTCGCTTACCTCATTTGTAAAATAGGTTCATTACGGAAGGCTGTCACGTCCTATTCATTTACTTAACGTGGATTTTCCTGTATGTCAGCGGGGGGCGGGGGAGTAGGCTTTCTCTTCCTGTAAACGGTTAGTCTTATAAGTTAGTTCCACCCTGTCCTGTAGGGTCGCTGTGAGTGGGAACCGACTCCGTGGCAGTGAGTCTGGTTTGCTATTTCCTAGATGTCAGACACTGTCAAGCAACTTACAAATGCTAAGTTAACTCCCGTAGTCCTCGGGCACAACCCTATGAGGTGGAATCCTATCATGAAGGCGCGCTGATGGTGCAATAGTTGCTAACTGAAAGGTCGGCGGTTTGAACCCATCCAAGGGCTCAGCAGGACAGCATGGAAGGCTTCCTCACTTAGTACTTGCAGCAATGTCTTCTTGGAACAAATACTGAGTTCTTACATTCAAGGCCCAGCAAATAGAAAAGGTAGCTGCCCTCCACAGCTCTATATTGTTAAGAGAGACCGCCTGGAAGGCAGCAAACAAAAAGTGGTTTCAGATGGTCCTTGGTGCTGCCATTTAAGCAAGGTCATGTGATAGAAGGGAGCTGTGGGAGGTCACTTCAGAGTTTATGATCTAGGAAGGCCTCTCTGAAGAGGTGACCACGCAGCTGGGACCCAGATAATGACAACCCCTAAAAAGCACGTGTATTGTCCCCGATTTAAAGAAAACAAAGGTGCAGGAAATTTAAGTGAGTTAATTTACACCTAGTAAATACAATTGGCCTTCAGGCTGTGTCTCTAACTCCTGCCTCCATCTTCTTTATCACAAACTCTAGAGGCAGTAGCCACTCAGACCTCCCACCACACTCATCTTCGGCTTCCTACCAGGGTTCAGAGGGACCTTTTCTCGAAGTTTGCTTGGACACCTTGTCACAGTCCTAAAGACACAGGTATGCTCACAAAAAACCCACTACTCACATCAAGATTAGGAATAGGACCAACATGTCATTCATGAAACTTCCACTCAGATCCCAAACACCACCGAACATCTGCTTGACAGTTTACTTGCTCCGATTCTTGTACCCTTAGGATTGTCTCTAATTCTCACCACTCTGTGAGGTTTCTGGTCAGAGAATAATCACCCAGTTTAAAGATGAGGAAGCTGAAGTCTTGATCAAATGGTACTGGTCATGGTCATCTTATGTATACTATTTGCTTTTCAGTTCCCTTTGCTTTTCATACGGAAAAAAGTGAGGGGACTGAAATTACTAGTATGAAGTCCTGTTCAGAAACAACAATTAGGAAAATGGGGTTTTCCTTGGGCAAAACCTTAAACAGAAAGGAAATGTTAAGGTACTTTAGAGCCTTTCTCTTTTTATATTCAAATTTTTAATATTCAATTTTCTTTGTAGCTCTGGACAGATAATGAATGAGCAGAAACGTGCTTTTTCTTCCATTGGTCCTTTCATTCTAATTTATCAGTTCAAAACACTAAACCTAACATCGGCAGAAACTGCTGGGAGAAAAATATCTTAGTACTAGCTTGGCTAATTCAGGAGCTAAATGGAATGTGCTTAATGACAGTAGCCACTTAAAAACACCAAAAAACGACTCTTCATCTTGACTTTATAAATGTGAAAGTTATAATAATTTGAATAAACAAGGCAGGTTAATTTTATCTGTCTTATAAAAGTTTTCCCAGCATGGAATAGAAGTAAGTGGAGTTATACTTAGTGTATGTTCTATAAAAACACTATACCTTTTTATTCCTCACAAATACCAAATTGTATTTCTTTTCACAAATGTCAGCTTTTAAGAGCTAGCATTCTCTGTTTAAGCTAATTTTCTAGCGAACACAATAACATTACCTGTAATTCTTTCAGCAAACTTCTAATTAGTTGATTGGTCTACTTTGATTTGATGCGTTTACCTGTTGAGATCACACAGATATCTGTACTTGGAAGAAAGCCAGGAAAAATTAAATGTA